CTTGGGTGATTTGTATTATGCGGGTTTTCAGCTCCTGTGTTGGGGCCCGTTGGTTTTGAGCCGTTAAGCTCTGGAGTTCGTTTTGCCATTCCCTCATTTGTGCCTGTGCTTGCCTTTTTAGATGAGCTGCTCTCTGTATCAGTATACCCCTAACTACTGATTTGTGCACTTGCCATATGGTGGTGTGTGGCATGTGGTCTGTAGCATTCTCAGTGAAATAGTGCTCAAGTTCTGTTTCTACCGATTTTGCGAATGTTGGGTCTGTGAGCAAGGAGTCATTTAGTCTCCACGGGCTCCTGTGTGTGGATTCATATAGGTCAGCTAGGGTTGTCACCACTGGGGCGTGGTCTGACCAGGTAATCTTCTATGGTGCATCCTCTAACCTGTTCCACATGCTGGCCAGTTATTAGTATACCATCTATCCTAGAGTATGAGTTATGCACTGTGGAGAAGAAAGTGTATCCTCTTTCCCCCACATGTGTTGCTCGCCATACATCGTAATAATGGTGTTCATGTAGTTGTTTGTTTATCGCTTTTGACTGTCTCTTGAGTGGTCTCATCCTAGCTGCAGAGTGCACTGTTGAGGTGTTTATCACGGGGTCTAGTACGTGGTTGAAATCCCCACATATAATTCCTATTCCCTTTTTTACGGGCTCTATTTTCTTAAGTATGTGGTGTAGAAAGTTCCTTTGTTCCGCGTTGGGGACATATACATTTGTAATAGTATATTCTAAATCATTAAAGGTCCACCTCACTATGACATATCTCCCTTCCTTGTCTATTTCCAGGTGTGAGAGGTTAAACGCTATGTCTTTGCTAATGAGTATGGAAGTGCCTTTGGATTTGCTTGTGTTGGTGGCGTGATATTGGTGCAGGTAATCTCGTGGCAGCAGGGGTGAGTGGGCATTGGTCTTAAAGTGGGTTTCTTGGAGACAAATTACATCTGGTTTGTGTTTGATCAGGTCTTTACGGAGTAGGCTCCGTTTTGATGGGTGGTTGAGTCCCTTTGTGTTGTGTGTATATATTTTCATGGGGGGGGGTCATACATCATAGGTGTGTGTGATAGTGTTGTTAGTTCTCTGTCGTTCAGGGGCGCCTCCCTTCCCAGCATCATCGGCCCGGGTGGCGACTCCCTATTGGGGGTGGGTAGTGGGTTTGAGCTCCTAGGCGGGCAGCCTATACCAACTTTGTTGGTTTGAGGGGTTGGTGTAGCCATGGTGTGTGTACAAGGCGATTCACATAAAATTAACATAATAAAATAAACAATCCAACAATTAACTAAACATTTTGCCTTGTGTATGGCCTGGCACCAGTAATAGGCCCAACGGGGTAGGAAGCGGCTAGCTTCCATGCCTGTGCAACTCGGTCTTGGCCATAGCTATTTCGTTCCCTTATTCTTTCTCCCCCCTTTAGTATCCTTATTAGTAATAATTAGCCAGTTATGTACTGTGTCCCCTTGGGTGTCCCGAGTTTTCTTTTTTTTTTTCAGTGACTATATTGGGGCATGTTTGGCATTCCCAAGCCCCCCATCTCTTTGTTAACGGCACCCTCCCATTATGCTATCAGTCCCAGAGTCTCTCTGTTAGTACTTGCCGCAGTCAGCGGATTATGTGTGGTTCCTCTGTCCGTTCTTAGGGACCCTCTTCCACGCTGGGGTGAATCGGTCACGGTTCGTTGTGGTGGGCGGCAGTTGCGGTAGTGGCAGGCCCCATTCTCTGAGGATCTTCACTCCTGCCTCCGGGGACGTGACGGGAATGGTCTTGCCGTCGGGGGTGATTAGCAGTTTGACCGGGAAACCCCATCTATAAGGTTTTTTGTGGATTCTGAGCTGCTCTGTGATGCCAGAAAAGGTTTTCCTTTTTTGTAGCGTGACTGCTGAGATGTCTGCGTATATCATAGTCCCTTGGTACAGAGGTGGTAAGTTGGGGCGTTGTCTGCTTGCCCTCATTATGTTTTCCTTCACGTGAAAATAGTGTAACCTCACCAGTACGTCTCCTGGTTTCTCCGTTGTGAGGAATTGGGGTTTTGGGACCCTGTGGTACCTGTATAGTAGTAGCATATCTTGGTGCATATCTGGAATCAGAGTTTTAAACAGGCCTTGCAGGTGTGCGTACAGCTCCGCCACGCTAACTGATTCTGCTATACCTCTCAGCCTGAGGTTGTTGCGGCGGGAGCGGTCTTCCATGTCCGTCATTTTTGTTTCAAAGCCTGACATGGTGTCATTCATAGCGGCACTCATTTCCTTAAGGTCTTCGGCCTGGTCGGCCATTTTGTCCTCCAGCGTGGAGGTCCGTACGCCTAGATCTTGGATCTCTGACCTTATTTCTTTTAAGGAGGTCTAGATGGTATGTTGTATTTTTGTCTGCATGTCTTCCAGCATCCTCTGCAAAATGCTCTGTGTCACCGGGCCGTCGTCTGCGGCTTCTTTTTGTGCGATTATTGGCGTTTTCATGGGCGCCATCTTGGGCCTCCTCTGTCGCATCCGCGGCTTTCGTGTGGGTGCTGCAGACGCTGAAAAAGCAATTTTTTTCTCCTCTGTCCGTCTGGCGCCTGCTCTTTTGCTGGTACATGTTTTGGGGTGAGTGTGTTAAATTATGACCCGTGCAGCCGGAGCTACCCTAACATGCGACCGTTGCGGTTGCGCTCCAGGCCATGCCCCCTACCTGAGCTCTTTTTGAGATCTACCCTATTGTAGCAGCTGCTGTGGCATGGGGGCATTTATGGTCAGGGTTGTCAGTTTGTTGCTACTCAGACAACCATCATCAACAAAGGCCGCTCATCATCTCTAACAATCATGAGATTTCTTAGGAAACTTACTTGGTTGGCAGCATGTCACAATTTCTTCTTGGTTTGCGTTCATGTACCAGGCATTTGTAACATAACCGCTGACAGTTTGTCTCGATTCAATTTTCAGGCTTTTCAACAAGCACTTCCGTCAGCCGCTCAAACAGCCACAACCACTCCTACGTTCCAGCGGCTAATCATTGATTAGCAGAAATTATGCAACACAGCAGGGATCTGTCCACAATAGCACTGTAATCCAACACTCGCAAAACATACAACAGAGCCTTCACACTGTTTCTGTTGTATGTTTCGATTTCTATTGCATTACGACATATCCCAACTTTTTGCATGACATCTATTCTAGCCTTCGCTTCTTTTTTGCCACCTTAAACTACACTTATCTTACAACACCATTAAATTATATCTTACAGGCATTCAACATCACATGCTAAACCTCTGGCCTATCACATGTCATCATATCAGATAAAGAACATACTCAAAGGTATCCAGAAATCCGTTCCTCCACGTCCCCTCCAGAGATTACTGTGGCGGAACCAACCTCGCCACTGGCCACTGGAGGAGCCTGGTTGCCCACCTCTTGCCGCTGGACTATGACCCTGCATTAAAAACCTTTTTGTTTTCCCTATGTGGGCAGTGTTACCCCAGATAGCGAAGCCATGGAGCCCATTCGTATACCGAAAGACTATGGGAAAGACTTTGGCTCCATGGCGATTGAACTGTATGTATGTGATCTGAGCGCCATCCGGTAATAATGCGTGCTCAGATCTAAGCTATCTGGGGATAGGTAGAATGTGTATGTTCTATGTGATAAATGTAACAGTATGTATTTTTATGTCTTTTATTGTCCTTTGTCCGCCATGTGGTTAATGGAGTTTTACCTCTGTCCTTGGAGATAATTGGATTACTTCCCAATTATCTCCAGGACAGAGAGGAGGGATTGTGATGCATTGTGGGATTGTAAGGTTGTGATTGGTCAATGTCCAATATGTTTCCCAGTCTTCCATCTGGTCCCCTAGGGGAGTGTCCACCAGGTGGAAGACCTGCATAAAAGCCGGGCAGGTAGCCCCAGTAAATCAGATTCTGCTTGACCCTCAAAACGAAGTGTCGTCTCGTTTTTGGGGGAATTGGATTGTATGCTGATTGCCAGGAGTGTAAGCTGATTGTATGCTTTTCCTGTTCGGCTGTTTCCAGTGTTTGTGTGTTCCCTGTTCGGGAGTTGGAGGATTTGTGTAGTTTGCAGTTCGGGAGATTGGTGCTTGCAGTAGCTGCCTGTGCATCTGAAAGGGGAATAACGCCTAAACGGTTTTTAACCTCTTGTGTGCAAAACGGTCCGTTACAATTACCTGTAGACAACACACTTTTCCAGTCACTACCCGACCTATTAGACTCCAAACCTTTCCAGTCTACCACCAATTCAGTCATCAAAGCAGCTATGTACATAGCCTTCTACGGTTTTCTCAGACCAAGGGAATTTACGATTATCACCAACACTCAGACAGACATATTTCTTCTATGTACACACCTACGCAAACATATGGACCATTACATACTGGCAGTACCCCAGTCCAAAACAAGCCAATTTGCACCTCCAGTGGAAATCACTTATTATCCTACCCACAACAATGGTGTCTAGTGGCGGCTCTAGATTCCTTCCTTCTACATACTACACCACTACCATCACAACATTTATTCACACTACAAGGCTCTGTACTCACTACCACTACTTTTATGAAATATATCAGATCCCTGTTAACCATGCTAGGCTTTAACCCTTCTCACTACTCAGGTCACTCCTTTCGTAAAGGAGTGCATATCATAAAATCACTGGGGCAATGGAAATCACCCGCTTACACTTACACGACTTACATACCAAACCAACACAAGAATTAAGAAATGCATTTAACCCCTTAAGGACACATGACATGTCATGATTCCCTTTTATGCCAGAGGTTTGGTCCTTAAGGGGTTAAAGAAATATCTGGTTATTTTGTATATAATTATTGACTGTATTAAATCTTTGGTTATTCACTTTTTGCCCTCTTTATTTACAGGCCTACCGTATCGTCGGTCTCGGCACACCACAACCGACTTGCTCTTTTATACTATCATACGTTCTTACTTGAACCTTACTCCATATACAGCTATTTGCCACTTACACAAGTATTAAGGCCATTTGACCTGTAATTGTGGGAGGGGCTTAAGTTAATTCACTTACCTATATAGGGTACACCCCTTACCTGACTCCATCCTGCTTGAGGTCAGCTTCTGAATGACCCTCCCACCCACTCCTCATTCTCAACACTTTTCTTTTTCTTTCTATTTCTTTACTTTTCTTACTCCTTGGTGGGCCCTCTTTATTTACAGGGCTACCGTATCGTCGGTCTCGGCACACCACGACCGACTTGCTCTTTTATACTATCATACGTTCTTACTTGAACCTTACTCCATATACGGCTATTTGCCCCTTACACAAATACATATATATATAGATATATATATAGTAGTTAAATATATACTATTATAAGTTTTTTAATCTAGACACTATGTTCACTCATCTTTGAACAATAGGGCATAGTTCACTGTATGACCTCAGTGCAGATAACATGATTATTATAGAAAAATACTTTCTCTGGTGGCACACCAAGACTGATGTGTGATCACCCCGTAGGTCATTCATCAAAACCAAACAACACTGTAGAGCAGTGATGGCGAACCTATGGCACGCGTGCCACAGGTGGCACACCGGGTCCTTTCTGTGGGCACGCGGCCATAGGTTCGCCATCAATGCAGAGTAGACACCTGCCTGCCCAAAACAGCAGGCGCCTACTCTGCTTCCATGTCGGGAGGCGGGGGAGGGATCTGTGAAGCTGCTCCCCTATCCTCCCGCGAGCAAGCTGTGTGGAGCGTTGCCGCGCGTTACCATGGCAACGCTCCACACAGCATCGCGCGGGAGGACAGGGGAGCGGCTTCACAGATCCCTCCCCCTGCCTCCCGACACGGAAGCAGTGCTTGCCACCACCGGACCACCAGGGATGGCTGTGTCCCCCCCCCTTCATTAAAGGTAAGAAGGAGGGAGGGGGGATACTGATTTAGCATACTTTTTTTTTTAAAACACCTTTACCCCAGCCCCCCCACACACAGCACCCCTACCCCTACACACAGTACCCCTACCCCCCAGTAACCCTACCCCCACACACAGCACCCCTCCAGCATCCTCCTCCCCACACCTCCCTCCCCTCCCCACACCCAGCATCCCTCCCCCCTACTACACACACAGCAGCCTACCCCCACACACACATCCCTACCCCCCATACACAGCACCCTACCCCCACACACGCACCTACCCCACACACACAGCAGCCCTGCACCACCCACAGCCTACCCCCACAGCACAGCATCCATACCCCCGCCCAGCACCCCTACCCCCACACATCACCCCTCACCACACTCACAGCACCCTCACACACCACACACAGCACACACACCTCACAAACACAGCACCATCCCTCACACACACAGCATCCCTCACACACACACAGCATCCCTCACACACACACAGCACCCCTCATACACACACACACACACAACACCCCTCATACACAACACCCCTCCACACACACACACCACCTCTCATACACACACACACACACACACAGCACCCCTCACACACACACACACACACACACACAGCACCCTCACACACACACAGCACCACTCATACACACACACAGCACCCCTCATACACACACAACACCCCTCATACACACACAACACCCCTCACACTCACACACACACACAGCACCCCTCATACACACACACAACACCCCTCACACACACACACAGCAACCCTCACACACACACACACAGCAACCCTCACACACACACAGCAACCCTCAGACACACACAGCAACCCTCACACACACACAGCAACCCTCACACACAGCACACACACAGCACCCCACACACAAACACATACACTACACCCCTCAATGCAGATTGTGTGTGTATTCAGCAGTCTGTGTGTGTGCGTGCATTCAGCAGTCTGTGTGTGTGTGTATTCAGCAGTCTGTGTGTGTACTCAGCAGTGTGTGTATTCAGCGGACTGTGTGTGTGTGTGTATTCAGCGGACCGTGTGTGTATGTATTCAGCGGACTGTGTGTGTATGTATTCAGCAGTCTGTGTGTGTGTACTCAGCAGTCTGTGTGTACTCAGCAGTCTGTCTGTATGTGTATTCAGCAGACTCTGTGTGTATTCATCAGTCTCTGTATTCAGCAGTCTTGTGTGTGTGTATTCAGCAGACTGTGTGTATGTGTTGAGCAGTCTGTGTGTATGTATTGCATTTGTTGGAGATACTAATAAATATAAGCTTAATTTTATCTATTTATATCATTATTTAAAATTTGTATCATTGAACTCTCTGTTGTTGTGTTCTTTTAAAACAAAAGTTGTTAATTAGTTCGGACAACAGTACGAGTTGTTTTTTCTAAACTTAAACCTCAGTATTGAGGTTTAATTGCCGTGTTGGCACTTTAAGGAAAAAAAAGTTGGCATGTATTACGGTTTGGGCACTCGGGCTCAAAAAGGTTCGCCATCTGTAGAATATTGCATATTCTATATTTCTATTGATTATATATATGGAGGTGTGGATTGACATAAGTAACAGATGGTATCAATAAGTCACAAGGCTTTCTTTGTCCGAGAGCTCTGGAATGTGGATTCGGGGGTCTTGTCCTTATATGGCTAGAGGTAAATGCTGATGTTAGTATTAGCACTTCTATATAGTAACAGAGGGACACGAGGTCTCTCACACTTGGCTTAGCTCTTGGCTCTGTACAACGATGTAACTCTCCCATCAGAAGTCCAGCAATTACCATCTGCTGTTGAATGTCCATTATCCTGTAACATAATTTATTATGTTTTATTATGTATCCGTAACAAAGAATAAACCTGAAGAAACCGTAAGTCAGATTGCGTATTACTACTTTTCAATAATATAGACATATATTATTGTGGCGAGCATTTGGCCCAAGACTATATATACAAAAGACGTATATATATCAATCAACTGAAGATAAGAAGAAATTAAGAAGAATCTACATGAACATCCATTCATCTACATTTTTTTACATTGGCTAGCCAGCCAGTCTTCTATTCAAGTTTTGTTCCCACTTCAAGGGGGGAGAGAGAAGAATCGAGTTACAAAGCTATTTTGGAACTGGGAAAACAAACTTGAAGAGAAAAAAAGAATCTAGACTGACTGTCATAGAAGAACTGTGTTTGTAAGAAAAAGAACATTTTCAAATCACAAAGACTGTACAAGACTATTTTCTACAACTGAGATGAAAAGCACAAGATACAACGTGAATTCTAGAAGCAAGCACGTGGCAGAGACTGGCAAATTTCCAGATTCAAGCAAAGAACTGCGCAGCTGTGTGGATGAAGCAACGAAATAGACAGAGATAACTGATCTGGTGAGTAACATGGAATTCATAAGTGATATTGCAGAGAAAAGTAAATTGCAGTTTGCATTTAATAGCAGCTATTCAGATGCTGTATTGTGGCAATCTTTATACACACAATGCGAAATTGCCAATACTGAAATTGACAAGGAATTGTTTGTTAATAAGAAAAAACAAAAGGTCAGAAATGTTATGAAACTAGTCTGTACTTACAATGCATTGATTTGTAAACGAGATGCAGGTCAAGACAATTTAGAATCAGCAGATAAAGAAATAGATTTGAATGGGTTAACAGAAGACAAATCAGATTTAAATGAACAGTGTAACAATGTAACAGAGAGAACATTGTCAGAAAAAGTCTGTGAATTAGAGGATAGAGTTGAACTAAGAAATGATCTTATTTGCCAGCTTGAAAATGAAGTTAAACTAGTGTGTGTTAATACAAGAAAAATAAAGGCACAGAATCTAATACCAGAACCAATAGATACTGAAAATGTATCCTCACAGAGTGATTTGCAGAAATGTAAATTTCAAGACAGAGCTGCAAAACTTAATTTGAAAATCCATGAACAATTAATGAAAATTGTGAAATGTATTCCGTTTTATGACACGTCAGTGGATACATTTACTAATGCTGAAATGTTTGAGTCTAATTTAGACAAATACAGCCTAAATGACGAACAAAGGAATAGACTATTTAAAATATGGCTGCCAACATACATTGCACGTAGACTGACTCCACCCATTAGTACCCCTAATGACGAAGATGGTGAAATAGTCCATGGAAATGAGCGAGACAGATTAACACAATTAATAAAATTAACAACAGGGAATGATTTTGCAGACACTGAAATGTTGGAAAAACTAAAACCACACAAAGGAGAGGATATATTTAGTTTTCTTGTAAAATTTGAAAGTGCATATAGACTTGTTGCTGATTTTTCTGAAGATCAGTTAATTAATGAATTTGTGAAAAATGTCAAGATCTAGATCCAACTGCAATTGTGTTAGCTAGAGAAAAAAGCACTTTGACAGAAGTAGCTTTGTTCTTGGATAACTTAAGGAGGGAAACCAATAATGAAGGGGTTAAAACGACTTGTGGATTTAGGCAGAGGAAGAAGTGCAGATTTTACACTCCTCCTTCTTCTTCTTCTAGGACAGAGTGTAGAGTGATACAGACAGCTGAGCCCCTCCCAATTTATTCAACTAAAAACTGTAGAGTTGATAATATAGGGCAAAATATAACTCCTAAAGTTATTTGTTTTTGGTGCAATAAACAACATTATTTAAGATCTTGCAGATATTTTATCTGAGATATCAAATCAAAAGCAAATGAGAAATTAAATTTGTTGATTGAAAATTTTGACAGAGAAAATACATGTGGAGATAAATCAATTAAAGCCTTTCCTTGTAAACTTATAATCAGACAAATAAAAGCAATTTTAGCTAAATCGAAATTAGGAGACAGACAAGCAATGTAGTGTAACACAGAAAGTTATACGAATTAGATAACTTCAAGAGATATGATCAGTTTAGGGAATGAGCATGGATATGTGTGCCAACAGAGGTACACAGGCTGATTCCAGAATTAAGAACAGCACAAGAATAGAGATCTATGTTAGTTTGTTGTTTTAAATGAATTGTTAGTCTGTACTGTTTTTTCATTGTTTTATGTGTGTTATAAGAAAGTATTAGGTTAATTAATTGAAATAAAAATTTACATCAAGTTTGCAAATATGGCAGAATGAAATACACTAATGTAGCAGTTAGGCACATGCAATGTATGTTATATTGGGTGTATGCGATTATACAGTAACTCCAATCATTTTACAGAAGGAAAAAACAATGTTGTTACTTCTGAGGTTGATTTAAAATCTTTGATTTAATTCATGAGAATGAGATTTTAATGTCATGACTGATAATGGATTACTATGTTTTGCAAAGCCTGGACATACATATGTTTTGATTATATAGAAGACAAAAGTTTTGATAGAATAAAACCTAGATTTACAAATACATTTGATGAAGGAAACAATATATGTTTTTGTAGTTTGTTTCATGTGACAAAATGGTGCCAGTGTTAAGACAAGATGGCTGCTATTGCTAAAGTATAGTGGAAAACAATATTTTTTTGTAACATCTGACATGTGATTAGGTTATACCTCCAGATTATTAAACAGTTTAAAAGGGGGGTATGATTAATAAAAAGTTTGGCAAAATTAAAATGTGTAGAAAAGATATTTTGATATAAAGGAAATTTAAAGATTACATATCACATGGCAGAAATGCAATGACCACTAGATGGTAGATCTCATGAGAAGAAATGAGTATGTTGTGTAGTCCATGTAATTCAATGTTAAACTGTATAATAATAATGAGATATAAACATTGTAAGCCATTGTATTGATGCTGCACATGTTATTTGTTTTAATGTAGGTAAAGCATGAGAGATCCATGTGGCAATAAATCAGGAAAGCATTCCTTCAGACAACTGGACATCGACTGTTGGAAAGAGACTTTTCATCTGATCTGCAAACTGTGATGGAAGATTCTACAGAGTTCATTCGATACAGAAGATTAACAGACTTACAAAGAAATAAAAGATTGACACTAACATACATATATATTCCTAAATATTAATGAAGAAGAAAACAGACAATGAAAGTTATATAACAGTTATGAGTATTAATACCAAGAGAGAGTACTTATAAATGTGTAACACATGGAGTAAAATTATGAAAGGATAGTATTATGAAGAGAACTATTACATTATGACCTATACATAGAATGAGAAGTATCAGAGGTAGATAAAATATGAAGTTGATAAAATAAGGATCATGGTTACTTAATACCACAAAGATTGAGTTCAATAGTATTTCATAGATTCACAAGAATGAGTAATTTGTTTATAATCGAGGTAGAGTAAAACAAACAATGGTAACATAAGGAAGAAAACTAAGGAAGGATAATTTATATTGATTTATATTAAGTAATGGTATACATTAAGAAGGCCTTGGATATAAGAGTTCAGAGATCCAAGAGGAATTGAATTGAATGGAAAGAGTATAGTACACAATTATATTTGACCTAAGTCTATAAAAGGTATGGACTAGGGAGAATAGGTTTCTGGATATGACGGTATCCAATGAATAAGTTGTTAAGTTGTTTTATGATTTCCCTGAGTTTGTTAGACACAGACTAGGAATAAGAGTTTCTGGGCAGTATGACCCCAAGTTTTGTTTATTTTATTTTAGTCAGTTGAAGTGTACTAAGGAATACGGATTGGTCAGAACATTAGGACAATCCTGCTTTTAAGATGTATTACATTAATAAGTCATCACAATGCTATTGAAGAGAGTGATGATAATGAATTTAAATTATTCTTTCCAAGTTATTTTAAAGTAAACCATTCTCCGATTGAATGAAAAGTTTGTTACTACAAGGTGGAATTTTAGTGAAAATTATAATTATGTAAACAAAAACAAATCTATGATAGAAAGATTTCTGGGTGGAGAATTTCTAGGACAATAAGTATTGTCAACACCATGAACATTATTTGAAGAATTATTATAGAACTTCATGGTTGATAACACATCATTTGAATGAGACTTATAAGTAGTGTTGGTATATTTCAGGTAGTGAGAGCCTACTGAATATACAAATTAAATACTATGATTGTAAAGTACTGATACAATCATCACTAGATGGTATTAATGGTATAGGAATGTAATTCATGAATACAAATGACCTAAAGATTTTAAGGTGGCTAGAAACCATATGATTCATGGAAATCTAATTGGACAGGATATTATAGTAATACATGTATTAGTATTTTAGTAATATCAGGTATTGAGAATGAAAATACTATACTATATATGTATCTGTAGGAATATGATAGTGAAAGTTATCATCTTGATTTTGTTATCTACAAAGATACGACTGTAACATAGCAGGTAGATCTTTCTGATTGCTTTATTGTTTATTGGATCAACATTTGTAAATATTTTATTCATTTATTATTGTTATATATGTATATATTATGTTCAAGTAGTTATGATGTAACATGGATATGGATATCAATACATAGCTGAAACAGAGGGAGTTTTGAAGTAAAGTAAGCAGTAGGAGGGATAGAAACTCGACCTTCTAAGAACTCTCATATAATAGAAAATTGTGACTACATCTTGTTCTATGCTCAATGAATGTGATACAAGTGATGTATGAATGGACAGGTTAGTGACATTGTGTTATGGTTTTAAAACAAACCATAAACAGAGGGAATGTAGAATATTGCATATTCTATATTTCTATTGATTATATATATGGAGGTGTGGATTGACATAAGTAACAGATGGTATCAATAAGTCACAAGGCTTTCTTTGTCCGAGAGCTCTGGAATGTGGATTCGGGGGTCTTGTCCTTATATGGCTAGAGGTAAATGCTGACGTTAGTATTAGCACTTCTATATAGTAACAGAGGGACACGAGGTCTCTCACACTTGGCTTAGCTCTTGGCTCTGTACAACGATGTAACTCTCCCATCAGAAGTCCAGCAATTACCATCTGCTGTTGAATGTCCATTATCCTGTTACATAATTTATTATGTTTTATTATGTATCCGTAACAAAGAATAAACCTGAAGAAACCGTACGTCAGATTGCGTATTAGTACTTTTCAATAATATAGACATATATTATTGTGGCGAGCATTTGGCCCAAGACTATATGTACAAAAGACGTATATATATCAATCAACTGAAGACAAGAAGAAATTAAGAAGAATCTACATGAACATCCATTCATCTAGTTTTTTACACCATCACTGCTGTAGAGTCACAAATCATACAATATATAAATGAAAACAAAAATAGAGATAATGCCAAATTGTAGGTCAAATAGCTTCCACGGAAAACCAGTCATCCTATACCAAGGTTAGGGAGATCACACCAGTATCTTTGAGTTGCTCCCAGCAACAATCGCCACACCACTCCAGCCCCAAACCTAAATAAGATCAGAACATATTTTATAAAGAGTGATGCTGCTAAAGCCTGAACTTTATGCATAATACAAAAACAAAGATCAGTGCACACTCCACAAATCTCTATAAACAATTTATTAAAGGACCATTAAAGTCACCCAGACTACTTCATCTCAGTGTAGTGGTGAAGGTGCAGTGGCTCTCTGTAGTTTTAGCCCTGCAACGTGAAACAGGAAAGACATCCACTATAGGCGCTTCCTCTGCAACAATCAAGTTTCACTGTGATGTTCAAAGTCCATGAGGACGAAAAATCTGCTTAAATTAAATATTCTAACACAATCATGCTTCATATCCAAAGTAATTGGGATTTAGTTACACAAGATTGCCATATTGTGTTTTAACACCACTACTGCTTACTGAAGGGTTAATCCATGCTTACAGAAGCAAAACAGTTTGAAATGTTATGCTGAAATAGCTTGAAACTTTATGCTGAAACTGTAACTCGCTATCTCTGGTATGTGCTTACAGGACAAACTTGCAATTGTAACATTTCCTATGTGCATATGGGACAAGCTGTATGCAGCAATGTTAGAAACCAGCCCACGCAATCGCTCTCTACTTTTGCTGTATAAATATTTTGTTGTATTAATAAACCGAGGAACTCGTTTGGAATCGTATTTGTCTGTTCATTACTTGTTCCCAGAGCGCTCTGATAGGAATAGAGGTTTCCTGACCGTCAACTAGAAGCAATCTTTCCCCTACAAGCTGGTGTTTGAAGTGGGATGCAACTGGAAACGTGAAGGGTAAGTGAATTGTATCTGTTAGATGCCTATTCTCTTGCTCTCACTATCCACACATTGCATCTCTAGTTTTGGGGCTAGTCTTTGGTAGACTAGGAGCTAGTCTTTGGTAGACTAAATTAAGGAACTCCCTAGGTGGGAGATGAGGCTAGTCTTTGGCAGACTAGGAGCTAGTCTTTGGTAGACTAAATGAAGGAACTCCCTGGGCGGAAAACTAAGTAATATGTAGTCTAAGTAATATGGGACTTCATTGGTAGAAGTCAGGAATACCGGTACCTAAGTTATATTGAACACATGTATCTACTTGACGGACAGGTTTAACCCTAATCCCTGTGCATGACAGCTTGCTTGCTATAAAAATTGCTGTATGGTAGAGTTGAGCGGACACCTGGATGTTCAGCCAAACTTCGTAAAAAAGTTTGGGTTCGGGCTCGAATTTAACCCCGAACCCGAACCCCATTGAAGTCAATGGGGACCCAAACCCCATTGAAGTCAATGGGGACCCGAACTTTTGGGCACTAAAATGCCTCAGTCCTGGAAAGGGCTACAGGGCTGCAAAAGGAAGTAAAATGGGGGTAAGAGTAGGACAAGTGCCCTGCAAACAATTGGGGTCCCCCCCAAATATTGAGACATAAAAAAAGAAAACAAAGAATAAGTGCACTTGAGTATAACAATGGCTGGGTGAGGCCGGTATAAATGTCTATTCTGCACAAGGTTCAGACAAGTCTGGTGGGATCCATGCCTAGTTCGTTTTAATAAACGTGAGCTTGTCCACGTTGGCTGCGGACAGGCGGCTGCGCATGTCTGTGTTAACACCCCCTGCCGTGCTAAACACACGTTCAGACAATACACTGGCTGCAGGATAGGCCAGCACCTCCAAGGCATAAAGGGCAAGCTCAGGCCATGTGCCCAATTTGGAGATCCAGAAGTTGAATGGGGCAGACCCATCAGTCAGTATGTGTAGGTGTGTGCACACGTACTGTTCCAACATGTTGCTGAAATGCTGGTGGTGCTGGTTGTTGTGGCATGCTGACAAAGCTTTTCCACATTTCAGCCAAGCTAACCCTGCCTTCTGAGGTGCTGGCGGTGCCCCAGCTGCATTGGCGACCTCTTCCTCCTCCTCTGCCTTCGCCTTGTGCTTCTACTGAGCACCCGGTGTCAGTTGGGAATGCCCTCAGCAGTGCGTCTACCAGTGTGCGCTTGTAGTCGCGCATCTTCCGATCACGATCCAGTGAGGGAATTAAGGACGGCACATTGTCCTTGTAACGGGGTTCCAGCAGGGCTGCCACCCAGTAATCAGCACAAGTAAGAATGTGGACAACTCGGCAGTCGTTGTGCAGACACTGCAGCATGTAGTCGCTCATGTGTGCCAGGCTGCCCAGAGGCAAGGACAAGCTGTCCTCTGTGGTAGGTGTATCGCCATGTTGGTGGAGTACTCGAAACAGTGCAAAATGGCACACAGGTCTCGCATAGAGGCCCACTCATTGGTGGTGAAGTGGTGCTGTTACGCAGAGCGACTGACCCGTGCGTGCTGCATCTGAAACTCCACTATCTCCTGCTGCTGCTTGCACAGTCTCTCCAGCATGTGCAAGGTGGATTTCCACCTTGTGAGCACGTTGCGTATGAGGTGGTGAGCGGGAAGGCCGAAGTTACGCTGCGGCACAGACAGGCGAGCAGCAGCAGGGTGAGAACGCCGAAAGCGTGCACAGACGGCCCGCACTTTCTGCAGCAGCTCTGATATATCTGGGTAGTTTTTCAGAAATTTCTGCACCACCAAATTCAGCACATGTGCCAGGCAAACCGGCTAGGCCCAGAGTTGCTACGAGATTTTGCCCATTATCGCACACCACCAGGCCGGGCTGGAGGCTCAGTGGCAACAACTACTCATCGGTCTGTTGTTCCATGCCCGTCCACAGCTCCTGCCCGGTGTGGGGTTTTCCCCCCCAAACATATGAGTTTTAAAACAGCCTGCTGTCGTTTCCCCCTGGCTGTGCTGAAGTTGGTGGTGAAGGTGTTACGCTGCCTGGATGAGGTGGTGGTAGAGGAGGAGGAAGCGGAGTAGGAGGAGGAGGCAACAGGAGGCAAAGAGAAATGCCCTGCAATCCTCGGTGACGGAAGGACATGCGCCAAACTGCCATCTGCCTCAGGCCCAGCCACCACTACATTTGCCCAGTGTGCAGGTAGGATGATATAGCGTCCCTGCCCGTGCTTACTGGTCCACGTATCTGTGGTTATGTGGACCTTGCCACAGATGGAGTTGCGCAGTTCAAACCTGATTTTGTCCGCCAATTGGTTGTGCAGGGAAGGGATGGCTCGCCTGGAAAAGTATGTACTGTTTAGCAGTTTAGCAGCAAAACAATTCGAATTTTTACAACTGTGCTATAAGCGCACTATTTGAGACTTCTATTTGACTCTCAGATATGAAGAGCACACCCAAAATGTACTATTTAGCAGATTAGCACCCAGAAAATAAGAATGTTTACAATTGCACTGTAACCGCACTATTTGACGCTTCTATTTGACTCTCAGATATGAAGAGCACGCCCAAAATGTAATATTTAGCAGTTTAGCAGCAAAACAATTAGAATGTTTACAACTGCGCTGTAAGCGCACTATTTGACTCTCAGATATGAAGAGCACCCCACTAATGTACTTTTTAGCACCCCAAAAAAATTTCAGTTTTAAAACTGCAATGTGACAGCAGTATTTGATGGTTCTATTTGACTCCCAGATATGAAGTGCACCCCACTAATGCACTAGTTTGCAGAATTCTTTCCTAATCTGTCCTTGAAAGTGGCAGCATCCTCTCCCTACACTAATAAGACCTCGTGTGTGCGGCGCTACGCGACTCCAGCTTATATATAGAGGCTGGGTCACATGCTGCACTGGCCAATCACAGCCATGCCATTAGTAGGCATGGCTGTGATGGCTTCTAAGGGCACACAAGTCAAACGCTTGTTGATTGGCTGCCCTGCAGCCTTTCAAAACGCGCCATTAAATCGCCGAACACCGAACTCCAACCCGAACATACAGTGATATGTCCGTGTTCGGGTACAGGGTCCAAAAAACTTAATGTTCGGTACGAACCCAAAATTTTACAGTCCGCGTTCGCTCAACTCTACTTATGAGGACATAAACTAACTTGGAAAGTCCTGAAGGTGCAGTGCTGTCTAATGCCGCTGGTTCTGTATTAACCCTTTCAACAATTGGGGTGTTGCACAGAGCTTTGTGGTGAACATCCAGCAAACAAAAGAACTAATAACTATGTGGAAGCTGACATTGTCTTGTTGTCAGCCAGATGGCTACCCTTAGCTATTATATGGAACAAAATGTATGGTGTCCAAATTTATACTCCTTGAAAGACTTGTTCTATTTTTCTGAACTATGCTGAACTATTGAACTATTTTGTTATTTTTATTTTTGTAGAGTTAGCCGGAGAGAGAGGAAGCTGACCCAGGGAAGGATGTAGTATGTGTCGTTGATGTATGTTGAGTGTGCCAAGGATGGATTCCCATGTTTTGAGGAACTGAGTGTGGATATAACCGGTTTTGACTGGACTGTTAGAATAGGGACATGATTAGGAGACATAGGACGCAAGGTCCTGGTTGGACTTATTGTCAGAATTGCAAGCTAGAATATAATTTATCTCATGATTTAATATGTAAGTGGGCCTTTTCAACCAATCAAGAAGTGTTTCCAAATTCTTCCCGATGCCCAAGCTATGTACTAAACAGGTGCGGGTATCATAAGTCACAAGTGGTGTCAATGTGAGGGATGACATGTCTATATGGTTGTGGCCCCCCCTCAGAGTTTCCTCAGATGTGCTTTTTTCTCATATACGAGCTTTTTGTCTCTGTTTTTTTTTGTTTTTTTTTACCTGGCCCCAGAACACTGGGTGGACTGGTAATCCTAGACCATGGTCCACAAACGAGGGATGGGTATTTTCCCACTTTGTCTATATACAATGCTTAGTGAAAATACCTCTAGACAGAGCTATGAACTTTCCAGTCTCAGAGCGTTGGTCTTATTTTCTGTTTTCTATTTCTGTAATTCTAACTGGGTAGTAACATATCTATTTTATGAGTGCGTAGTAACTTTTATTTCAGCTGCATAGTTAAACTGAAACCATAATGAGTACTCCCCCATTACTCCTGCAAGCTATCTATAGGATAAGATAGGTTGAGATAAGATTGATGAATTATGTTATTATTGGATAATATTTAGGAGACCACCCCTGTTTCCTCTTGAATATAACCTGTTACACAGCCTATTAAATGTTAGGAGTCCCAGGCTTAGCACTGTATATTAACAGAGTAATTAATGCCCTAGCCTGTTCCCTCGCCAAAAAGGTTTCAATGCGACATCCCAGGCCCTGGAGGAACTTCTTGCTAGATACCCAGGCCAATAGAAAGGCAATCCTCGAGAATAGGGAGGCCATTATTCTTAAACATAACTTAGGGTGTGAAGTTGTAAGCGGGATGTGCTGTTTGATCCATGAACACATACAAAATCTACACAGCTTGGTTTAGGACATTAAACAAGACACTGGGTTCTTTGACAGCTGGGACTGGACCTTTGGGTTATTATTATTATTATTATTATTATTATGATATTTATAGAGCGCCGTCAAATTCCGCAGCGCTTTACAATGGGTGGACGAACAGACATGTAGTTGTAACCAGACAAGTTGGACACACAGGAACAGAGGGGTTGAGGGCCCTGCTCAATGAGCTTACATGCTAGAGGGAGTGGGGTAAAATGACACAAAAAGCTAAGGATAGTATTAGACTAGTGACAGTTGCAGAAGAGGAATCAGTCAGGAGCTATTAACAGTTTAATTGATATGCTTTTATGAAGAA